CAGGTCGAGTAATACCCACAGGACGGGTTCAAATTGGCATCACTACTGCGTAGTTCTATTTCTAGGAACTAAGTTAATCTCTCTTCTCTTCTATATATATCCTTAAGTACATAGACATATTCACCAAACCATCGCATATGTAGATTTTGAACAAAGTGCTAGTTGGGAGTGGAAGCCCTCCATCAAAATCGTGATGTTTTACTTGGATATGTTCAAGAAGGAGCAACCATGAGAACTTTCATAGGGTACGATAATATATGGAGCCATCTCGCGTTAGAAATGTAGATCATATCTGACTATGACATAAACAAATCCAATCAATGGCAGGCTCAACAAAGTTCTTTTTTGACCCGATTGACCCGCAATCCGACTAAACCCGTAATCTAATTGACCCGAACTTGATTGGTCCGAACCCGATTAACCCGTAATCGCATGATTGATCCGAATAATTGCTATATTATATATTATATAAAATTTCAAAATGAATTTTGTTGTAACACTAAGTAAAACTATTTTTTTCATTTTATAAAGGAAAGTTCAAAAAATGATATTGAGTTCAAATTATGTATTTTTAATAAAGAAAGAAGGGAAAGAAATAAGGTGAAGTTTTGATACTTTGGTTTATAAGAAGAGAAAGAAGTGGGAAATTTTGAAGTTTTCAAACTTTGGGGGGTGGGGGAGGGAAATTTGGTGCTCAAATTTTTGGGAAAAGAAAGAAGGGGGAGTTTTGGTTTATAGGAAGAGAAAGAAATAGGAAATATTAGGTTTTTCAACTGTTTAGAGAAAAAAAATTGGGAAATTAGGTGCTTCAAGTTTTAGGAAATGAGAGAAGAGGAAATTTTGGTGCTTTGGTTTATAGGAAGAAAATGAAAGTTTTTGTGCTTTTGATTTATAGGAAGAGAAAATGGTTGGAAATTTTGATGTTTTTTATTTATTGAAAGACAAATAAGCGGGTAATCTTTGTATTTTCATTTTTTTAAGAGAAAGAAGAGAGAATGTTTACCACAATGTTTATATATGATGGTTTAAGAGTTTAATTAATTATCAATTTGATTATCACAATATTTACATATGATGATTTAAGAGTGTAATATTTAGTGACTAAAATATTTTTTATACTCTACAACAAACCTTACTATAGTCTTATAGGCATGACTAATTTGATATAGTAGATTTGAGAATATATAAAGAGTTATCATATCTCAAATGCATATTATTTTACATTTAGGTTGGAAACTTAATTTACTCACTAATTCTCCCACAACATTTTCATTTAGGTGGGAAACTTCCCCCTCTCATTATGATATATTCATCCCAACCTTTCAATTCTCCAACGTTTCCCACCCCCACTTTTCATTTTTCTCATTTTGTTTTCCCTTTACAATTTATCACTACCAAATTGAAAATCTTATGAGGGAAAATTCACCCAATTCGACCCACCAATGTTTCAATTCATTTATTATTAAGCTCCATTTCCATTTCCCATAAACAGTTGTTTATAATATTAGTGCCTTGTCTAGATTTTTCATATAGATATAAATTAGGACTATTGATTGACAACGACTTGCAAATTTTTTCCAAGAACCTTGATCCATATTTTTTTTGTTAAACAAAAAGTTTATACTTCACTGAGAATTAACCTTGTATTTTATTATATATATATAATTCAATTATTTTTTTGTACTAAATTTTGCTTTCCGCAGAATTGCAGCTCAAAATTTTTTTTTTCTTGATATATATTGCCGCCCAAGTTTTTCAATCCCGCTTCAAAAGCCACACAATTTTCGTTTGGATTGATTTATATTGTCACTCAATTTTCGTTTGGATTAATCTATATTACCATCCAAAATGTTGAGATAAAGAAAAAGTATTTTTCTTTTTTGTTTTTAGAGTGGTGCTTTGTTTGGTTTGCTAATAGTGTCTATTGGTTGCAAATGTTGATATCACAATTACTATTAGCTACTGCACTTTACTAAATATGATTAATTACATGACAAGTTTGCAAATCTTACAAATTGATTCAATATTTTGACTAGTTTTTTTTTAAATTAAGTGTAATGATAATTGGTTAAAAATTTTGGAAAATATTTTAAATTAATGTAATAAAATGTGTAAGTTGGTAGCGAGTAAGGAGTAAGTAACTCCATGCACTGTCTCGAACAACCCGCAAACCGCCTGACCCGAAACTCGATGAACCCGCAACCCGATTTGCCCGCAACCCGATTGAACCCGAACTCGATGAAATCGCAACCCGACTAACCCGCAATCCGATTGAACCAAAACCGATGAACCCGCAACCCGACAAACCCAAAACCCGACTAACTCGCAACCCGATTGAACCCGACCGGAACCCGCCTGATTGACACCTATACTTACAACCATACACTCATAGCTAGGGAAAGTAGGCCGAAGCCCATACAAACATATTACTCAACAGCCTCCCCCAAATTGATAAGGATCTCTAATCTACGAGAAAGATAAAAGTGACGACTAGCCGAGAATGTCTTGGCTAACATATCTACAATCTGGTCCTCTGACGTGATGTGAAACAGGCGAAAAATACCATCACGAACCAATTCTGTTATGTAGTAAAGATGAACCTCTATGTGCTATGTATGGTTATGAAACACCGGATTTGTAGCTAGGGGTGGTAATCGGTCTGTAACCGTTTGACCGTTTACTGATATACTGGAACCCCATATGCGTCGCCCGTTTGCCGATACCGAGTTCTACACAATACACCGGTTATCGAATTAGTTTTTCACGGTATTTTGTTCGGTATAGTGATGGCAATGGGGCGGGAAGGGGCGGGTACCTCAATTCCGATGCCCCGCCCCACGCTACTACGGGTCGGGGAGGGTAAAACCCGCGAGGGTATGGGGCGGGGCGGGTCGACGCACTCTTACATGTTGTTCAAAAAAACAAGTAAATTTTACTTTTTACAATAAAACGTAGGGAAAAACACTTTAAGAATGAAAAATATTGATAATAGAATGGATAATTGAGTTTAACAAGTTGAAAGATCGACTCTAACTAGTTGAAGAAAAGTCAAAATAGGAGAAATATGTATAGATATTGTAAGAAATTGAGATAAAATGAGTCTAGAACGGGGCGGGGCGGGGCAGGGCGGGTCGGAAGTAGATACCCATGCCCCGCCCCACGCTAGTGCGGGTCGGGAAATACATGCCCCATCGCGAGTCAGATCAGATAATACCCGCGGGACGGGTTGAAATTGCCACCACTAGTTCGGTACACCTTACCGAATGCCTGCTGCCTACTGCCTGACCCAGTGTTGCTTGCAACGTGTGCGTGGTGTGTGTGTCACCTCATCCTCACTCACCTGTTGACAAAAAACCCACCGGCCACCACAAAACAAATGCATAATGATGATTGATGATGCGTTTTAATGCGCCACCAATGCCACTGCTGCCTACAAGGCTATAAGCCAAAAACCCACTAATAATCCCATTTCCCACAAACGATAAGAATTGAAAATTGAGAACTACAATAGCTGTTACGGCAGGGGAAGGTGGGAAGCTGGACGCCGGGAAAGATCCGAAGGCTGAAAACGGATGATCTTACGGCTACTACAGGGTCAGGGAAGCAATCAGGAAGTTGCACCAGCGATTAGGTCTAGCGCGCAGGGTTCGACAGAGACTCAGAGAGGTCGAGCAGCTGAGATGCGACATCGTTATCGTCGGCCTGAGTGCGCCAGCGTCAGAGAGGGATTGGTGGTTGGGGTTCCAATTGTACGGCCGGCAGCGTGACTCGTGACTTGAGGGTTGGCTTAGCTTAGGTTAAGCAGGCAGATAGCGAGAGGGGAGAGAGCAAGATTAAATCATAATTAATTAGTCTATAAAACTATAAATTCTTTTACTAATAGAAATAGAGAGCCACTATTTAATAGAATTATACAGCGTCGTCTCCCTGCAAATTCGGTATCGGACAACCGGGTGTCCGTCGGTTACCTGGCAGCCGGGTTTCCTCGGTTACCTGGCAGTCGGGTTCCGGTATTACCACCATCCCAATTTCACATCCAACAACCGTTTACGTCCGGTTAACGGTTTAACCGATAACCGCGGTTACCGATACGGTTACCGGTTAAACCATTAACTGGAAAACCGAATCCCAGCCCTATTTGTAGAAATCTGAATGGCACTCATATTCTCAACATAGAGCTAGAGAGGAATCTCACAATCCACTCCTAAGTCACCAAGGAGGTGACGAAACCATACCATCTCAGAAGCAACATCAGACATAGCTTGATACTCTGTTAGAAACAAAGTTTCTAACGAGATTGATAATTGGGGATTTAGGGATTTAAAGAATAGAATTAGGGATTAAGAAGTAGAATTTAGGGAAGAACGAGAAAGAATGACCGACGGCCGGATTATGGATAGAGGAGAAATTGAGTGGAGTTGGGAGAGAATAGGGTTTAGGGAGATAGACTTTTCTTAATTCTTTTCCGATTGATTCTGAATGGAGACCCCAAAGTACATTTATTTAGGAAATACCGGAAAACCCTAATAATAACCTAATTCTATTAAATGACTACTAACCGTATTGATAATTATCCTAATAATAATTATATTAATAAATAGAGAAACCCTACAGAAATTGGTTTCTAACACCTCTTATTAATAAATAGACCAACCTTGCCCTCAAGGTTGAACCACTTGACCCACTCTTCATTCCTTCTCGCGCACTCTGCACCCTGACTCAATTTCCTGCGCTTCCGTTTCTTCCAATCGTGCTCCAATACTTCACTTAGACCTCTTGCGCCGACCTTCTCGTGTTGGTCCGCCCTTTCGAATTTCATTAGCATGAGCCCATTCTTTGCTTCCTTGACAAACTCAAACTTCGACGACTCCTCTTCCGTTGGCTTCACCCTCCAACAACTTAATGAATTTAAGAATTCTTCCTCGTACAAGTATCGATCCTTGTCTACCAATTCCCCGAGACCTTCAAACAATTTTCGTGGAGCCACCCCATGAATTGAGAGCCCACCTATAAATTTAATAAACCATCTCCTTTTTCTTCCAAGTTCACCACACACACAAGAGCTCTAGTCGGCCCACCCATTATTGGCCCAATGCTCTCCAAGGTTTCAAGCCCATATTTGGTGATTAAACTAACTGCTTCCTTTGGATTCCCTGGCCCACACCGCCAATCCTTCTCGGCCCATTGAAAACCAAGCTCCGGCCCGCACTCAAACCCTGTCTCAGCTTGCTTCTTCCCAGAACGCGGCCCGAAGATCACTAACGAACATCCAATCTCGTCAGCTGGGGTGGACCAACCGCTTCGGCCCATAGAGAGCCCGACTCACCCCAAGCTTCGGCGAGTTAGGGTTTTAGAGGAAGGAAACCCGCTTCCCTCCCACCTCTTTGCTCTTGTCAGCTGCGCGCGATCCTGCCAACGGCGAGGAAGCCAGCCCGAATCCGCCGCTGCCTTCTGCCCTTTCGACTCAATCTCCGGCATCGATAGACTCTTCTCCTTCTTCTCCGGCAACGGTATCTTCTCGGTGGTTAACACCCAGGCTTGAGTCGGAGTCGATTGCGGCGGTACAATATCTCCGTGAGTTGCCGGCGACAAATCCCGACGGGCGGCCACCGTGTCCTTTGGTGAGTCTCTCACCAGATCATCCCCCACCTTCGTCTCTTCCTCGTTCATCGCCGCAGCGGAAGCAGCTGCTGATCGCCGCGTTTTGAGCGAGACTCGAAGATCCGTCCTCTTCCACGGCCAGGCTGCTGTCACTAGCTCCATCACTTCTTCCTTCTTCTTCTTATTCCTTGTCGCGTCGCCTTCCTCCCTATCCTTCATCGGCAGAACCATCACCGACCTTATTCCCGACGGCGAGCAGCTCACCAGACGACACGAGTGCCAGCCCGATAGCGGTCTAGTCTTCGAGTTCTTCTCCCCGAGCGCGCCAGGCAACGAGAACACCAGGCCGCGAAAAGCTAAACCCGAATCCATATCGTTCTCCGATGATGGTTCGTCTTCTGGCGGCTTCTTCTCCAACGACGACTGTAAATCGCCCTCACTAGGGAGAGGGAGAAAGCCATCCTCGTCCACTTCGTTCGCCGACGAATCCTTCGAGTCGTTACCCGGCGACGCCATCTTCGTTTCCATCCCAGCTTCCATTGACGAACATACCTCCTTGACTGTGGTTGGCGGCGACATGGGCGAGCCCCCAATGTCGTTCGGTGTAGTATGGATGGCTGACGCGGCGGCCCCGGACTCCTCTTCGTCCGTCTTTGGCTTCTTCCGAGACCGCCAGCTCGCTACATGACGCGACGTTGGTGTCCTCTCCAAACCCTCGAGTTGGGTTTCTTCTTCCAAGGCGTTGGTCTTCTCACTGTCAGGAACAAGGATGGAAGAAGCAGGATCACCTTCTTTTTCACTCACGACCATGAAAGTACCATCGACAACCTTGGATGATTGTTCAACCGCTGCAAAAAGTGTTGGTAGTGAAGTCGCAGTCGTGGTGACCGATGCTGTCGAAAGCTGCTGCAGTTTGTTGGTGACGTTTGGAAGCTCTTCCGTGGCTGGCGGCTCGATTGCCAAAACCTCTTCCACGTCCGGTTGCTCTGCTCGCCTCTCAACTTCACCCTCTGAGTCAACCTGGACAACCGACAGTTGCTCTTCTGCTATGGTGGCATTCCTGGTCGGCAGCTCCTCGGAGCTCCAACGACGGTTGATGCGGCGAGCCCGGTCACGCAGCTCTGCCCACGACAGGTTCGAGAGCTTTGAAGAGCTCATCCTCGAACCAGTTGTAGAACTCGTCCCCGGTTGAGAGTTGTGGTGAACTCAATTCTCGAACCGGGCTCTGATACCAGATGTTAGAAACAAAGTTTCTAACGGGATTGATAATTGGGGATTTAGGGATTTGAAGAATAGAATTAGGTATTAAGAAGTAGAATTTGGGGAAGAACGAGAAAGAATGGCCGAAGGCCGGATTATGGATAGAGGAGAAATTTAGTGGAGTTGGGAGAGAATAGGGTTTAGGGAGACAGACTTTTCTTAATTCTTTTCCGATTGATTCTGAATGGAGACCCCAAAGTACATTTATATAGGAAATACTGGAAAACCCTAATAATAACCTAATTCTATTAAATGACTACTAACCTTATTGATAATTATCCTAATAATAATTATATTAATAAATAGAGAAACCCTACAGAAATTGGTTTCTAACATACTCCGCCTCGGTAGAAGATTTAGATACCCTGTCCAGCTTCTTACATCGCCATGAACCGAAAGACGCACCAAGCCGAATACACCATCAAGTAGTCAAACGACGAGTGTCCACACACCCTGCAAAATCAGAATTTGAGAAAGCCTGAAGAACAAACAAACCAGATGATGAAAGAAACAACCCAACCTCCCTGGTGCCCTATAGGTAGCGTAAAATGTGATGGACGACAGCGAGATGATCTGAGAGGAGAAAACATAAAGTGACTAACTATCTGAACTGCTAGGCAATATCTGAACTGCATATGAGGTTCCCAACAACACTGCGATAATGCATAACACCATCAGGTAAGTGATCACCGGACTCTCGTCCAAGCTTAAAACCAAGCTCCATGGAAAGAGAAACCGAATTACACTCCCCAAAACGAGAAGAGTTCAACAAATCATTAATATACTTACTCTGAAACAAGAGAATCTCATCATGACTACGCTTGAAGTCAAGGCCCAGGAAGTATGAGACATAAACAAGCTCCTTGAGACTAAACGAAGCATGAAGACCCTTCGTAAGATCCACAATCCCCAAGTCATCGTCACCAATGACGATCATGTCATCAACATATAATAAAAGCACATCAAGACCACGAGAAGAGTTGCATGTGAACATAGAGGGGTCGTTAAGACTCTGCTGGAAGACGAGATCAAGAATAGTGGAGTGAAACTCATCAAACCACGCCCGAGGAGCCTTCTTCACACCATAGAGAGAATGACAAAGAAGGCACAGCTGTCCTGGCTTGCTATCAGTCTAACCAGGAGGAGGTTCCATGTAAACAGTATCTTTCAACTCACCATGCAGAAATGCATTCTTCACATCGAGCTGAAATAAAGGTCATCCTCGAATGGATGAAACCGCAAAAAGAGAACGAATTGTAACTGATACGCTATGACACAACACCAAACTACGATCAAGTATAATCACAGTATGGAAATGCAGAATAGTGGGTAAGTTTAATTTATCAACCCGGGGTTTAGATCTACTACCTACTCCGTGAAATTCTATTATCTAGCAGGACTAAGTGAGTGTAGGTGAATTCATACTAAACAGTAAGAAAGCAGTAAATTTTCAAGTTTTCTAAAGCAAGAGAAGAGTCACTCGGGAATGAGTCCCCCTAGCTCCTTAGTTAGGTTCAAGTTGTAATTTCTTTTGGTTGATTTACTGCTGGTTGAACTGTAGAAGATCCGACAGTAGCTTGGAATCTCTTAAGTTGACCAAGCCCTCTTAGACAGACTAACCGGCAGATGACTAGTCTTCATCGGGATAGAAAGCTAAGGCAATTAGCACATAACTCCACTACTGGAAACAGATTCCAATACAAAGCAGTAAATTGACTGATTCTCGTACAATCAATTCCCTCCTATCAATTGAAGAAGCTCTAATAACCTGATCAGATTCTTTCTATCTCAGGTTGCAGCAGAAATCAAAAGCAGTTGATCAGGATTCAATTGACTCAATAAACACACTTCAATCGATTAAAATCAATCAGTATATCAATCTAAAAGTCATTACAACTCAAATCTCTAACACATGGAACTAGGGTTCTTCATACCCGAGTGAGAGAAAGGTCTACTCCGTAGAGAGAGAGAGAGAGAGGAAAACAGAAATCAAAGCAGTCATACTCATAAAGATGGGAATAATCTGTTGCATGATGTCAATCTTCACTCCTGGGGCTGCAATCTGGGCTTTAATGGTGACAAATCCACTCCAATAGCTCCTAGGTAGACCTGGCAAATTAGGAGGCAACCCGTTGACCCGACCCGAAACCGCCCGCAAAATTAGAATTGGGTTCATATTTTTGTGACCCGAAACCGAATAACCCGCATTTTTTTGGTGGGTTAGGGTCGGGTTGGGCGGGTTAGCGGGTCAACGCGCTTCCCCCCACACACAAAACTTTCCTCCTTTTCCTTGTCCACCCACCACAAACACAAAGAAGACGACTTCGTCTCCAAATCAAAAACAAAACTAGAGCTTGGGATTATTATTGGCGGTTTGAGAGCAGAGAACTTAAAAGTTAAAAGATAATTAAGTAAATTATTAAGATAACTAGTATAAGAGTATGATGTGATATCGACTAGCGCGATATTTAATTCCCGTGGTCCAAAAATGAAGATTCATATTCGACGATTTAAGGATCAACTAGGAGCATTCTTGATGGATAAAATGGAGAATGCATTAAGGATCGGGTCTACAACATTTCTTGGAGCCCAAAACGTCCATCCTTACTGCCCAAGTCGTCCAAATGTGAAAAGGGCAAGGAAAGAGATTGCTTAACCACTAAGGAGCTTCTTTAAGCATTAAAACGTGTTTGGAGACTACTTAGCTGCTAAGGAGCTTCCTTTTGTCATAAAAACGAGTTATAGTCCTTATTTAAGTAGTATTTTGTTTCCTAGTTAGTTTGGGGTTTGTTTTCCTATTCCTTTTAGGTTAGATTTATGTTTCCATGACCTCTATAAATATAGGGTGTAATAGCTACGAATTTGGTGCCCAATATTCAAGTTATCAATCAAAGTTGAGTTCTAGTTCATTGTGAACGAGTTCTTTTTGTGCAAGCTTCTGTCGAGAGTCTCCAGGAGTTTCACGTGACTCTTATCAACTAGAGAACGCGTCTAGTTGTGGCGAGCATCTACCAAAATAGCGATTGGCCTTATTCATGAGTGGGTGATTGTTTGATTGGTTTCATATACCAATTGGCCTTTCACACGAGTTGGAATCTGTTTGATCGTGTTCCCTCATTATCTTTTGTTCGAGTTCTTGTTCGTTCAAGAAAAGCTTCGAAAAGCCATAAAAAGTAGTAAAGCTGCGTACTTTGGTCATATCAAGTGGTATCAGAGCCGGTTCAAACTCAGAGGCGATTTTGAATATTACCGGTTAAAATCAGCGGCAAAAAAAATAAATAAAAGAGGTTTGTTTTTATTTATTTTATTGTTCACGTGAAAGATTATTTTTAGTTTTTTTTATATTCGTTGTTACTGTTCACGTGAGTAGAAAGTAAAAAAAAAATTGTCATACAGCCACAAAGCTGTTCGTGGGAGAAAAGGAAATTTTTTTTTGTGTTTTTGGTTTTGTGGTTCTTATTAGCTCTTGAAAATCAAGAATGGAGCAAAATCAACGATTTACGGAGATGATGAAGCAAATGCTCAAGACGACAGAAGTTATTCTTCAAGGATTAAAGGGGAATAATGCGCCAGCAACAATAATCCAACCTGAAGCTCATTTGATGATAGGGAGTCCAAATCCAAAGCAAGTTCTCGAGCAAAGGGAGAATATATTTCAAACGAGATGCTTAGTGGATGGTAAGCTAATATCGGTTTTGATTGGTGGAAAGAGTTGCACTAATTTGGTGAGTGAATATTCGGTGAAGAAATTGGGGTTAAACACATTGAAACATCCAAAACCCTACACTCTTCAATGGCTTAATGAAGATGGAGCAATTGAGGTCACCAAGCAAGCCATATTGAAGTTTGAGATTGGAAGATATAAAGATGAAATCCTTTGTGATGTGGTGCCAATGGAAGAGGCTCATGTTTTGCTTGGAAGACCATGGCAAGAAATGGACAACAAGATGGAGTCACCAAGAAGTACAAGTGGTCACATAGAGGTCAAAAGTTTGTATTAAAGCCTTTATCTGCCAAAGAAATCTATGAGGATCAACTTCAAATGCAACAGAATTTGAAGAAGGAGAAAGAGTTTCAATCCAAAGTCGAAGAGGAAGTCAAAGAAGACGTGGAAGAGAAAGAAGAGGTTCTTGTTGATGGACTTACTATAGTCACTTGTGAAGAGGATTCAAAAGCTTTGATTTCATCTCGAGAAGAACCAAAACTTGAAGTAGAAGAGAAAGTCGAAGAAGAGGCAGAAGAGGTGAAAGAAGAAATTCTTGTTGATTTTCCAGATTTGAGTGCGCAAGAAGTTAAACAGTACATTAAGGAGTCAGAATTCAAGGGTGGAGATGAATGCTTGAAAATTATGGAGCATTCACCAATAGTTCTCGAAGTTGCTCATATTGATTTTGTGATTGGTGATGCAATGTTACAAGAGGCAGCTCGCCGGGAGAATCAACAAGAAATTCAGCTGTACGTGGAGAGCTTTCATCACAATGGTATCTATGCAATTCGTGGACCAATTGTTCTTAAGAAGGGGGGAATAATACGATCCTCACCAATACAATTTCGTTGGAAGAGCAAGAAGAGTGGTGCTGATTGGAGATCAAAGTTCTATAAAGATTCGAGGTCGAATCTTCTTCAAGAGAGAGGGAATGATGTGATATCGACTAGCGCGATATTTAATTCCCGTGGTCCAAAAATGAAGATTCATATTCGACGATTTAAGGATCAACTAGGAGCATTCTTGATGGATAAAATGGAGAATGCATTAAGGATCGGGTCTACAACATTTCTTGGAGCCCAAAACGTCCATCCTTGCTGCCCAAGTCGTCCAAATGTGAAAAGGGCGAGGAAAGAGATTGCTTAACCACTAAGGAGCTTCCTTAAGCATTAAAACGTGTTTGGAGATTATTTAGCTGCTAAG